AGGCTGAGGCGGAAGGATCGCTGGAGCCCAGCAGGCCGAGGCTGCGGTGGCCGGGAGCAGGGAGCAGCCACTGCACTCCAGTCTGGGCTACAGAGTGAGACTCCAACTCCAAAAAAAAAAAAAAAGAAAGAAGGAAAAAATTCAAAGAAATAATGGCTAAAACTTCTCAAATTTATTGAAAAACAGTAAGCTACAAACCCAGAAAGCTCAACAAACAGCAAGTAGGATAAACACAAAGAGACCTACAAATAGATGTGTCAAAGGAAAAATGCTCAAAGGCAGAGACAATCTTTAAAAAACAAAGTAGCAAGAGAAAAACCATCCATCACTTACAAAGGAACCCAGGTAACATTAACAGCAAGCTTCTCAGCAAAAATAATGGCAGTCAGAAGACAGTGGGATAACATACTGAAGTGCTCAAGGAAAAAACTGTCAACCAAGAATCCTATGTTGAGCAGGGTGTTCCTTCAAAACTGAAGACAAACTAAGGACATTCTCAGATAAACAAAAAAGGAACTTCCCCAACCTACTCAATAAAGGGCATCTGGTCAGGTCAGTGGCTCGTGCCTATAATCCCAGCACTTTGGGAGGCTGAAGTGAGAGGACTGCCTGAGTCCATGGGTTTGCGATCTTCCTGGACAACTTGGCGAGACCTCACCTCTACAATAAAAAAAAAAAAAAATTAGCCAGGTGTGGTGGCACATTCCTATAGCTCCAGCTACTTAGAAGACTGAGGCAGAAGGATCACCTAAGCCCAGCAGGTCAATGCTGGGGTGGCCGTGAGCTTGCCACTGCACTCCAGCCTGGGTGACAGAGTGAGACTCCAACTAAAAAATAATAATAGTAATAAAAATAAAGGGCACCTATTAAAAAAGAAAAACCTGAGGCACATAACATTAATAAGCATACCTGACCTCACACCAGGCAAAGTGGAAAAACTTTACCTGAACGATGACCACTTATATACCTAATCCTGAACTGTACTCTACATCTTTAAAATAAACTTTAAAAATCGATAAACATTAAAACAAATACATAAATAGCACTAAAGTAAAAAAGAAAAGAAAAACCCACAACATAATACTATCGGTGAAAGACTAGATGCCTCCCCCCAAGACGAGGATCAAGACACAGATGTCCACTCTTGCCACTTCAATTTAGGTTGTACTAGAGGTTCTGGCCAGGGCAGTCAGGTAAGAAAAAGAAATCAGAGGCAACCAGATTGGGAAGGAAAAGGTAAAACGATGACAACTCACATGCTTCTATCACCCTGTTTACAGAAATATCACAAGGGATCCACTAAGTTACTGTTGGAGCTAATAAAGTCCAGCAAGGCTGCAGGATACAAGATTAATCGACAAAAATCAATTCCATTTCTACACCTGGCAATAACAATCTGAAAATGAATGCATGAAAACAATTCAATACATATCTGCAACAAAAAACACAGGAATACATTTAACAAAACAGGATAGGCATGGTGGCTCATACCTGTAATCCCAGCACTTGGGAGACAGACATAGGAGGACTGCCTGAGCCCTGGAGTTTGAGACCCCTGGGCAATACAGCAAGACCTCATCTCCACAAAAAAATAAAAATATTAGCCAGGTGTGGCAGTGCACACCTGTAGTCCCAGCTGCTGGAGAGGTGGGAGGACTGCCTCAGCCTAGGAGTTCAAGGCTGTAGCCATGGTTGTCACTGCACTCCAGTCTTGGTGACAGAATGAGACCCTGACTCAAAGAAAAAGAAAAAATTAACTAGGGAAGCACAAGACTTATACTCTGGAACTTATCCAAAAACAGCCGAAAGAAACTAAAAGCCCCAATACATGAAGTCAGCCCACGTGCACAGAGGGAAAGACTGCACATTGTTCAGACGGCACCACAGCCAACCCTCTGTGTCTACTCTGTTGCACATCCATGAATTCAACAAACCTCAAATCACAAATGTTTGAAAAAGAAATTACAATAAAAACAACAAATATTAACAAAGCACAGCAACTGTTTACATAGCATTTACACTGCATTCGGTATTTTAGTAATCTAGACGTGATTTAGAGCGTCCTGGAGGGTAAATGCAAAGATGACACCCTTTTATATGAGGGATTTAAGCATCCTTGGACCTTGATATTCACAGGGGATCCTGGAACCAATTCCCCTTGGATACCAAGGGACAGCTGGACCCCTCTAAGTGATCTACAGAGTCATTGGAA